ACATTCCACTTGATTTCTTTAGAGCATGCCAGTCTGCTAAGAACCTTACCTGTCTCAGATCCTGAAGAGCTAAAGTGTGTTTTAAATCCAGAGGGGAAGACCAAGTCCCTCTACTTTGGTGGCACATTTATAAAAATGTGCGAGACAGGAAATGGGTACCGTCCACCCCTGCCCTGGGTGTCTGCAGACAGAACAAAGAGCAGGGTCCTGTGCCCAGTCAGCCTGCGGAGACTGTCACGAGATTGCTGCCTGATGTGTGAAATGGATTCAAGTCTCAGGTCCATCTGGTTTGTGTATCGTGAACGAGCTGTTAAAGTGTCAGGACTTAACTTCTCTGGATCCGAGGAAGTCTTGTGAGGTTTTATTGAGCAGTTAAGATGGGTGTAAACCTCACTGGTAGGACCAGATTCTCCAAGATGATCTAAATGACATGCAGGGTACACAGGCTGGAGCAGCACAAGGCTAGAGAGGACGGACTCCCCTGAAGTATAGTGCAAGGGCCTTGGAATCAGGCCCCACTGATCATGCACTACAAGGACTGACTCATCCTCTCTCTCAGTCTCTGCCTCAGTGCTGCCCCTGGGACACAGGGTCTCGCCTGACGGCTGTTGGGATGTGAAGGCAGGTGACTGTGGTGAAGGGGGCTGCCTGTGGGAGTGGAGGTCCTAGCTCCTCTTCATTTCCTCTCTCAGAAGGTGCCAGAGAGCAACAGGGACCTCACCTCTCGTTTCAGTGCTTCTCCTTCGTGACCAGAATGAGGCCATATTTCTGCACATGGCACTAAAAGATTCTCCAGAATGACTTGCAGCTGCTTTGGGCTCTCTGCTATGCACAGCTTCTGAAGGCCCCCGGCCTCAGAAGGAATAGAAGAGCCTGGCCCCAGGTAGGGGCTGGCAGTTTTAAAACAAGTTCACAAATTCTTTGACAGGCCTCGAAACACAAGATGGAGTTGAGGTCCCCGCTGCTTGATTACTGGCCCGGCCTAGCGACTGGCGTCCAGGGAGCAGACACAGCAGGAGGAAGCTGGTGACTCTGAAGTGAGGCTGGGAGGCCTGGTGCTCCCACCCGCTCTCCTGCTTGGGCTGGTTGGACTGGGGTTTCTGTTGCATCCACATTAAACGCGGTCTGACCCAAGCCGGCAGGGACGTTTTGCAGGAAAGCCACAGAGAGTTTTAAGAGGGTAGAAGAAGCTCTGATGATCTGGACAGGGATGGGCAGGGTCCCCGAGGAAGCGGCCCCTGGCTGGAATGGGCAAGGAGAGTAATAGCCCCACAGTAGGGTCAGGGTTGACACGAGGGCTTCCAGGTAAAGGCTGTGACCCAGGCTCAGGGCCTGAGGCAGGAGAGAGGCTGCTGGAGGACATAACAAAGGCGAGTGTGCTGGGAGGGGGCACAGGAGGTACTGGTGGTTTTCAGGGAGGCGGGAGAGGAACCAGGGTTGGACCACACTGGATGGGTTTCAGGCCAAGGAGCTCAGATTTGATCTGGACAGCGATGGGGGAGTGGCAGCTAATCAATCCGTTTTATTAACATTGCTTCTTGATATCAGGCGTCATTGCCTGAGGCTTTATGGGGGTGGCACAGAGAGTCACAACACCGGAATCGGAAACGACCTCAAGCTTAGTGTCCCCAGTGTCTGCTTCTTGACAGTTTTCATTCACGTGTTACCCCAGGACAGTCTTGCGAACTGTCTCTCCCTGCTCCCCTGCTTCCGGCCACATTCTTGGGGCTCCTTCTGCATCCTTCTCGCTTCTTACTTTTCAAAGGGTCCTTGCTACCTGGCCTCCCACCTGTGCTCTGCCCAAGGGAGCTACAAACCCCTTCATTGCTTACATGTGGGGGAGGGAGAAGCACTTTTCTGGTGCTTCTCCTTCCAGAGAAGACAGGAAAACACACAGCTGTAGAGCAGAATCCATCTGTATCCTTCTCAGGAGCCTGAGGCCCTCAGGAGGGGTACGGGGGATATGGCGAGCCCCTGGGAACCAGACTGCTTGTGCTTGGCCCCCGCTGAGTTCCTTACCACCGCTGTGCCCTGGACAATGTACTTACTGCTCTTCCTCACCTGCCAGATGGGACAACAGCCCTTCTTCACAGGCTGTTGTAAGCCCAAAGCGTCCCATGCGTGCAGCGTGCTGAGAACTGGCCCACGAGAGGGACTGGGATGGGGAGATCAAAACAGGGGCGTGAGGAGCACGAGGGGCTACAGTGAGGGCTCACGGGTCAATCGGTGGTGGGAGTTTGAGCAAATACACCTGGAAGGAGAAACCATGCAGGCATGCATTGGACAAAAATGAACAACGAGGTAGACGATACATCCATACCAATTTAAAAAAGACCTTGGAGGTGTTGTTGCTGGTATTTACTATATCTTCATTATTATTATTGCTGTCATCATTATTATTAGGAAAGACTCCATGATGCTAGACCGTTCTGTCTCCATGCCACTTTCTCATTTTTTTAAAAGATTTATTTATGTATGTATATAAGAGCTGGGGTGCAGGCCAGAGGTGTGGGGGGGTGAGAGGATTCACCAGAGACAGAGTGGGGAGCAGATCAGGCAGATCTACTGAAATACACTGCTGAGGGGAGCAGCGGGGAGACAGGAGAGGTCTGCTGCTCTATGTGCGTCAGCAACCTGGCCAGGGATCGAACTCGCGCTGCAGATAGCTTCATAGTGCTGAGACTTAACCACTTGCGCCACCGGGGAGGCCCCCACCCCACTTTCTGATCCAGGTGTCTGCACAAAACTGGGCCTTGTCCCGTTCATGACAAATGGATCCCCAGCGTCTCCCCCATCCCACTCCTCTGGATCCAGGACTTCCTACACAGGAGCCCGGCCTGGACGCCACGTGACCCGTGGAGAATGCATCACGCCTGTCAGGGTCCTGTGGCTTCGCGGCTGGGGAGGCGGCATCCTGCTGGGACAGAGAACTTCCCATGAAGATGGATGGCCCCCTCCTCCTTGACAGCCTTCCAGCCGGAGAGATCAGGGCCCTGCCGCAGGGGGAAGGGGTGAGGCATGTGAAATGGCCATTGGCCCAGCGGGAGGGCACCCAGGAGGCACAGGGATCATGTAGCCTTGCGTGCTGACAAGCCTCCTGTCCCGGGGGCATCAACTGCTCAGTGGCCCCAGTGTTTCTTCACATTGGCAAAGCCCAGGGGTTACATGAATGCCTTTGCGGGGTCAACTGGCTTGAGAAAGATTCCTTGCTCTGCCATTACCTTGATCACTAAACATAGACATGGTACTTGACTTCTCCCTCGAGTCTCAGTTTTTTCACCCCCCCCCCACTTCATGATACTATCCCATGAACTCTAAGAGATATGCAAGAGAGGGCCATGGGGGAGACTGTCAAAGTTTCCTGGAAGGGGCCAGCCAGGAGACGTCTTGGAGTCTTTTGGTCCTTGTGTGTTTGTTGCAATTACTCAAGGTCACCACTGCAGTGTGAAGACGACCCCAGACAATTTGTAAATAGATGGGCATGTTCCAGGAAAATTCCAATAAAACTTTATTTACAAAAGCAGGTGACAGAGGGAGTTGGCCCCTGGGCTATAATCTGAGAGCCCTGGTCAGGAGTTTAGATTTCCAGATCACGGGCTCTGGATCCTGGCCATACCTGGGTTTGAACCCCAGCTCTGCTGCTCATGCTCTGTGGGCCCTTCCTTTATCTGATGGGATGTGTAAGAATGTGATGAGTTAAATATTTATAGGCAAAGCAGTTGCCATGGTATCTGGCATTGTATTAGTCATGTAAGTGTTCTAGAGGTATCTGGAAGGCAGAGAAGAAAAATAGAAAGGGTGGGCAGCAGATCCCAGTACCCACTGTTGTTTTACTGACCCCAGATATGGTTTATAAGAGAGGAAACTGAGGCACAGGGAGTTGATATAAAAGGCCAGATCTCTCAATAAGCGACAGTGCTAGAATTCAAATCCAGGTCTGTTTGAATCCAAATCAACTTTGTTCTTGTGGCACTCAGCACTTTTCAGAAGCCATCCTTTAGGGGGGCATATTTGCCTACCCTATTGGGGGGGGCAGCAGGGTAGGTAACTCAGTATGTCATGGAGGGGAGAGAAAACAGATAAGGAAATTGAACCGATCAGAGGATAGATTTACAACTCTTTCAGTCATTGGAATATTTAGCTGGTTAGGAAAGATTATTCTCCCAAAGGAATGATAACATCATCATTTACTTCTTCCTCAGGAATAGCCATGCTTTTTTCCCTTTAAAGAGTAAATGCACAGTGAATAGTGGTTAAGAACATTGACTCCAGAGTTCAAAAGACCTGCTTAGGAAGCTCTGTGCTTTTCCATTCTAGCTGTGTGACAATGGAAAGATTACTTCCCCTCTCTTCATCTACTAAATGAGTGCAATAACTGTATTTCCTTATGCCTGTTGTTGGGAACACATGCGATAGTCTCATTTTTTGTAGTAATAATAGTACTTTAATTATGAGCGTATTCTTATCTGCATAGGCTGTGGAAAGAGAAAGCACTTTAGCTGCATTTAAAATGTTTGCTTGAGCCTCTAAAAATAAAAAAAGATAGACTCTATCATGTCATAAGGCCATTTCTGATAACAGGTGTCAAGTGAGATAGTCTTTCAAGTGCCTGCACATAGTAGATGCTCAATAAAGTTAATTATCATTAGACTCCATAACTCCTAATTCTGCATCTGGATCTTCTGCTCTTCTGGGTAGAGCCTTCAGAAGATTATTCTCAAAGCCAGATCTTTCAATAGGGTAAACAGAGTAGTTATTGCTTTAAGGGATTCCCAGCTGTTTTGATTTTAACAGTATTTATAGAGAGGTAGCATTGTTCTAGCAAGCTAAAAGATGAAACAACAAACCTGCTATTGTGTGCACATTTTCAAGGCATTGAAAATCATAATGAAAAACCAACTTTTGTTCAACACAACCATCTGCTCTCTTTTATGATTTGAATAGTTAGGGACTCACAACCTTAAATCCATTATTTATTATTTTTTATTAAATTTACTTATTTCTTTTTTTAAAGATTTATTTATTTATGCATACAAGAACCGGGGTGTAGGCCAGAGGTGTGTGTGGGGTGAGATGACTCACCAGAGACAGGGTGGGGAGCAGAACAGGAAGATCAACTGAAATACTCTGCTGAGGGGAACAGCGGGTGAGACAGGAGAGGTCTGCTGCGCCATGTGGGTAGCTCCCTGACTGGGGATCAAACTCGTGAAGTAGTGGCTGCGAGTAGCTTCATAGGTTGTGTTTAACCCCTTGTGACACCAGGGAGACCCTCCTTGTCATAACCACCACAAAACATGAAGGTAAAGTGATTAAGAATTTTGAGGTGGGGGCAACAATGTAATAGAGCTTAGGGGAGGTCCTGAGAGGGCAGGCCATGTACAAATGCACGCCCAGGAGAAGGGCCCTGACTGAGGTACAAAGGCTGTTGAGGTGACTGGGCAGAAATCCATCTCTGACCTCCGAGAAGCCGGAAATTACACCATCTTACTCTCCTTACCTCTGGAAAGCTCCCTGCTAGCAGCGGCGGTCAGTTCATGTTCACAGACTTCTTAAGACTTAAATTATGATCCCCAGTTTACAGAGAGGGAAAGTGAGGCAGAAAGAGGTGGCAGGACTTGCCCCAAATCAAGCAGTTGCTGTGTGTTCTCGGCGGAATTCAAACTCCGGCCTCCTGGGTTCCACCCTCCCTGGGGCCCTTCTCACTCCTGAGGCCTGCCCAGTCCGGCTGCCCACCAGCCAGTCTCCAGCCCAGCGCTGAACTTTTCAGACAATAAGCAGCAGAGCGATACATTCAGTTGACTCCAAAAATAAAATGGATGCCTGTGGATACGCCTGTGATTGACACAACATATTGGCTGGTTTCACTGTTAATTAATGCAGAGAGGAATCATTAAATCAGATCAAATTCATTTTTTAAATGTTCAGCTCTGCCCGGCTTTCCTGCCCCACCCCCGTGGTGAGGGCCCCGTGGCTGGAGGGGGCGGGGAGGGAAAAGGGAACAGATACGCGATTTAATTTTTCAAGTAACACTGTTCAAATAAAAATACATTTGTTCGAATGAGATTGCCCTGAAACAGCGTTTGCATTGATGGCTCCGGGAGTAATTCTATTAAGCCGGAGCAGATTTTTCATCGGGAGGCAGGAAAAGAGGGTGAGATGGTGAGGGAGGGAAAGAAGAACTGGAAGCTGAAGGAGAGGCAAAAAAGCAGATCTTTTAACCCATTTTAGCTCGGGTTTCTCTGCTAAAGTTGTTCACCGTTCTAGCTCCCGCTGTGGGACCCAGAGGGTTCTGCCTTCTCAGACTCGTTTGGATTCTGGGGTCCAGCCAGGCCGGCTGCCACTTGTCTGCTAGGGAAGGCAAGATGGAAATCCTACAGGCCTTCGGGATTTATTTCTTCATTGCTCCTGGAAAGAAAGGCAGTCTGAGGAAGGCATCTGTGTGCATATAACAAACATGCACACACCTTTATGTGCACACACAGAGCACACATTTACACACTCATATACACCCGCATCGATACTGTCTCAGTGCACCTACATACACATCAACATGTGCTTATGTGCTCCACACGTGCAAGGAAGGTGACTATCTGCTCACTGGCGTGTTCTGACAGTCCCTGCACAGAGCACCCTTAATAAACAGCGGTTGGTCTCTTTTATGTTCCCTCATGATGCTTCTGTCTCCTCAACTAGGAGGATGGCAAAGCCAGGCCCTCTCTCTTCTCCCTCATTGTCCCTCTCATGTCTGACTGGTGGCTGACAGGTGGAGGCATCCAGGTCAATTGTGTAACATGATAACAAGAATAACCATTCTATTTTCGGAGATCTGTGAGTGCTCCAGACCATATTCTAAGCATTCTCTGGGATGTGTCACCTCAACTTCACAGCAAAACAACATGAGCAGTGTGATCAACTCACCCATTTTATAGATGAAGAAACTGAGGTTCAGAGAGGCCAAGTCACCTGGATGGGTGGTGCTGCATTGTTGTTCAAACCACTCCACAAGTTTCAAATTCTACTTTTAAAAAATTCTCCAAGGTGAGATAAACAAAGTCGGAATTCAGCACCTACCTCCAGTGGGCCATCCAGGACATGTGCATCATTTGTTTACAAAGCTGTCGCTGTCAGTTTTTTCCAGGCCAGTCCCATAAGGCTTTTCTCCAGGGGCTCATCTAGCACATCTGGGGCTGCTTCAGGGCCCCACGGTGGTCCTGTGGGAACATGGAGACACCCAGGAATTGGAGGTCCTGATGCCACTGACTTTTGCAGTCAGTAGCTTCTTGGAAATCTGCCAAAAAATGGTGCCTAGAAAACAGATGGGGGAGGAACAGTTTTGTGGAGAAAAAGAAAGTTACCCACAGACGTGCCAAGATGAGGAAGACCTGGTTGGCACTAACTTGGTTACCTGCTTTGGAGACAGCTGCTCAAGGTCACATCCCATGCACTTTCCATAAAGCAGGTGAAGAGAGATGCAGACAGAGCAGACACCTGAGTATTGCAGAAGAAGGGGAGGTGTTCAGGCTCCACGAAGTCCCTACAGTGTGCCAGCCCTGGCAGAGCTCACTCATCATTTAACAGCATACAGGCTGGTGATATTAGGCACGATGTGAGAGTCATTCAAGGACATAAGATGAAGACACAGGATGTCCAGGACCCAACCCCAGAGGTTCTGAATCAATGGGCCTTGGCTAAGGTGCGGCCAGAAACACAGTGGTGGATTCTAAGAGGAAAACAAGTTAGGAATCACCAGCTTAATCATGACAGCAACTCTCCAAGGTCGACACTATCTCATCTGCATTTTAGGAATGATGAAACTCAGGCTGAGAGTGGTTAAGAAACCAAAGCCAAGGCCATACAACCAGCACGTGATGGAGCTGGGATTCATGCCCAGGGGTGTGGCTCCAAATGCAGTGCTCTTTCTGCTGCCAATGTGGCCAGGAGCCGGCCCCATGGACACCTTCAGTCTCCCTCCCGATGGCCCGCAGTCACGTAGACCTGGTGACGATCAATGCCTTCAGAGTCCAAGGGGCCTCTGTCCAAACTCCTCCCAGAGGCATGAACTTTAGGCACCCTGCTTTGCACAGCTCAGATGGGACTCCTCAAAACTGAGTCTGTGATTTATTCTGGTCTCTCTCCTCTCTGATCTGAGAGCTTGCTCCACCTTCCCCAGTCTCCTCTTTAAGTCCAAGGGGAAGAGAGCCCACAGATTCTTACAAGGGGCTCAGGATCCCAAGGGGGAGGGGGCCACTTAGCCTTCCTGTCTCCTTATTACTTTAATTAGCTGTTTGGTGACCTGACAGTCTCTTTGATACACATCCAACATCAGCCTGTGAAATATGGGGCAATGTCAGCCTGTCGAAGAAGGGTCAGCCAGACTGTTAATACCGTCGTCCATCAGGCTGATTCAGGCCGGGTGCTGGCCTGCAATGAAATGATTGAGCCATTTGTCCCTTCCCCCTGGCCAAAGTGTTGGTGGCGTGTGGAGCACAGCTGGTGGCTGGAGGTGAGGTGACAGTGTCGAGGCCATTGGGCGGCTGACTTCAAACCAGGGACCCAGGGCAACAAACAACAGGGAGAAAACAGAAAAAGCATAGTCCAAGTTAAATAAACCGCAGCAAAGCCAGAGAAAGACCGAAAGTCAACAAGTCAGAACAAGAGGAGGATCTGTAGGACACCCACTGGGTGGTTAGGCCTAGGTTTAACCCTGTCTGCACTCTGAGCTTCTGGGAGAATTGAAATTTTTCCAAATCAATGGTATTTAACACATAAGGAGAAACAAAAATCATTTAGTTTAAGACAACAAAAACATCAGTGTACATTAATAGTATGACATGGCAAAGACAAAATATAGCCAAGTGATCTGTGGATATATTAACAAAGGTTACTGACTGCCATAAGGGAGGTGACTCATTTGTTTCCCAAGCTAAATTGAGATATAGTCCGTACCATGGATTATTTGAAATCTCTGGAGATGTCACAGTAAACAAAAACAAGTCTTTACTCTCAGAGCTTTCAAAGTAATAGAAATGGATTTAAAAGGAATAATAATGAAATTGTATGGTATGGTAAATTATGTAATGAAGAAACACACAAAAAAGGAAGAAGTGAGGCAGCTGGGAAGTGGTTTGCCATTTTAAGTGGGGCTGTGAGAGATGTCTCTGAGAAGTTGATATTTAAGTTAAGTTCACAAAGCAGTGAAAGTTCAAGAGACAAGCACACAGACATCTGCAGGAAGGGTCTTCCAGATGGGGGTGAACAGCCAGTGCAAAGCCCTGAGGTGTAATGTTTGAGGAATTGCAAGGAGCTCGTTCCAAGTGGAGTGAAATGAGGGATAGACCAATGAAAAATGAAGTTGGAGAAATAAGCCAGGTTTTAGAAACCAATATCTATAAATAAGATAGATAGATAGATAGATAGATAGATAGATAGATAGATAGATAAGATAGATAATTCTTACACACATAGAGAAATATCTATACAATGTTTAGTTGGAAATTTGATATATGTTCCTCAAATATAAAATATACATTATATATAATATTTACCTGGCTAACGGATGTGGAAAAAAACCAGAAGTTCCAAGGGGAGGCAAGGAAGCAAAGATAGGGCCAGAAATGCCCATGATAGCCTGTTAAGAGTGTGGGTTTGATCTGCGAGCACAGAGAAGCGATAGGAGCAGTTCGAGTGAGGGACTGCCATGATCAGATTGAGGTCAGGTTCCTCTCTCTGGTCGCAAAGCAGACCGTTACTTGTTGAACACTGAGATGACTCTGGTAGGAATACCAAGCCCAATCTAGAAGGTGGTGGTGAGGATGGAGAGAAGTGAGCAGATTTGAGGGGTAGTCAAAATATAAACTGGGGGAATTGATAGAAGATGCTGCCTGGGATTATTCTTGTAGACACTTAGGCCATAGTCATACTGGGCTCTGTGCACTGCCAGAACCCTCCCGGCTCCTTCCACCTGCTCACAAGTGTCTCTCCACTAAGACGGCCTTTCTTGTTCCATTTCCTCTTATCCTCCCGCCTCTTGCTCCCCTTTCAAGACTCAGCTCTCATTTCTTCCTCCATAAAATTCCTCCCCCCACCGCTCTCCACTGCTTCGCTCCTGATGTGGCTTGCTCCCCAACCCCACCCCACTTGTATGCTGCTGATGTGGCACTCAGGTCTGCCACCCAAGGCTGGGCAGGTTGGGCAATGAACAAATGACCAAGGTGTCAAATGGAGACTAAGATTCACAGATTTGCCAAACCTTGACTACTCAGACTGACAAGCTTTTCCTAATCACACAAAGCATGGTGTGGGCCATTCCTGACTGTTCTCCATGTTCCCCAACTTCCACCATGATGAGTTATTCACTTGTTCATCTCTCTCATTAGACTCAGTTCACTTCTGCAGCCCCAGTACATACCATGGTGTCTGGATGTTTATTTATTGAATTAATAGGTGAATGGATGGATGGACAGATGCATGGCTAGAAGACAGTTCTGCCCAACAAGATGAATCCATCAGTGCAGGAGACTAACAATTAATTAGCTTATGTCAAATGGCTTATTCTCATGTTGGTACCACCATTCCTTATGCCAGGAATGACACACTTTTTCCTCCAGGGTCAGAGAGTACTCAGCTCAGGGCTGTGTCTGAAACAATCACAGACAGTGAGTGGGCATGACAGCATTCCGATAAAACTTTATTTATAAAAACAGGTGGCTGGTTGTTTTGCTTACCCAGCTTTAGATAATCTGTCTCACCGGGAAATTCTCCCCTTGATTCATTTCTTCCCAAGTGCTTGCTTTCTCTGTGTCCAGTTTGTAATGATATATAATGATGACAATGGCCACTGTCCTTGCTGACACTTATCAATTAACTCCCACAACTATAAGGCACTGATGTTATCTCATAGCACAGTGAGGAAACTGAGGCACAAAGAAATGAAGAAATGAATGTCACATAATTTTCCTTGGCAAAACAGATGCCCTGACCACTGGCTCTGGGAGAGCAACAAGTTATAAAAGCAGGTCTAGGAAATTGCTGAGGGCTAACGCCATTCTGTGCCCACCTCCGCTGCTTTCTGATCTCTCCGAACGTTCACAGATACTTTGTAAGGTCAGAGTCTTGCTGTCACACCTACTCAGGTCACATAGTGACAAAGCTAGGTTCATACAAACTGTCTTGACCACCATACCCCGGATGCTTGGAACTTTCTAGAAAGTAGACTGACCCGATGGACCTGCTCTCTGGATGCCACAGTCGGTCCTGCTTTTCTCCCTGCACAGGCTGTGCCTTTGGTGTCCACGGGCGCCTTTATCTTATCGGGCCCATTCCCCCTTCACTTTGCCAGCTGTCACGTTTGTTATTCTAGGATAAACTTTCAGCCTATATAGCACATACTATGGGGTCAATGCCCTGTGTTAGTCCAAGGATAGTTCAAATATTTGTGGCCTTGTCAACCCCCATCTCACTGGATGTGTGGTGGCAGCATGGGGAGGGGGGATAGCCCTGGAGACAGGTGTGGCCCTTTGTGGGAGGCCATGGAGGGAGGCAGGTGGTGGATACACCAGCTCTTGGCTCAAGGTGGTGTGAGGATGACTGTGGAGAAGAAGGAGCTGGCGATGGCTGAAAGCCCCCTCTGAGCCAGGCTCTCATGCATGTGATGTGCTGAGTGGAAGGGATTCTTCATAGGCGGAGAGAGGTTAATGGCTACCAGAGATGTGTATGTGTGTGTGTGTGTATGTGTGCATGTGTGCAAGTGCACACATGCACACATGCACACATGTGCAAACCCCAGATGCAAGCATATGCAGAAGCCTGGGGACCCCTTCTCAGACAGGTGATTTAAAAATCCATAAAATGTTCTCTAAGATTACTAAGGAAACCTTGAAACAGAGTCAGTCATCAGATCCAAAGCAGTGGTTCAGCGATAGGGGTGCTGCTTCACCCTTTCCTGAAATGAGAAATGGCGGCAGGTCTAAGGGCACCCCCTGTGGGGCAGATGATGTGAGCCTGAGGAAGTCCACGTTGTGTGACAGGCCAGGAGCGGTGAGGTCCACCGGTGACAAGCCACAGGACGGCCTGGCCCGCTGTGTGTGGGCAGCGCTCTTAATAGAGACGATTGCTGAAGTTCAGTTTGAGGTTAGGACCACAACAATGTTATTCCCTGCTACATGCCCTGGGTTTTCTCCACCAAGCCCTTGGGCATCTGGGGCCACAGGGCGGGCTCCCCTGAGCTGGTGGGTGGTGGGTTGGGGAAAGTGCAGCTGCCTGTGCCCCATCCAGACACCCCCTGGATGAGATGCCTCCCCAACCTGACCTCCTGGCATCGCAGCCTCCTCTCTGCACCCTGAGAGCCAGCGACAGGGAAGAGGGTCAGTGTGGAGCCAGCCCTTGGAGGCCTGGACCCTCCTGGATCTGCAGATTCTAGCAAGGTCCTCCCTCAAGTTGGGCAAATTTCAGTTCCCCACGTCTCCAATCCTCCCTGAAACGACAGTCCCAAGAGAGTCCAAATACCATTCGCCTGGTTGCTGTTATTGTTGTTGTTGTTGTTGTTATTTTATTGCAGGGTAAACTGGGTGGGTATGAACTCTCAGAAGAGATCGTTTTTCAGGGGTCATTTCCAGACCAGGTTTAAAACATGAGGCAGCCTTATACTGAAGGGAAATACAAGTAATAATAAAATATATCAAAATGTAGCTGCATGCTGGCTCAGCAGCC